CATACCAGGGTGCCAAATTCTTCGCCCTACTTTATCATATGTCTGGTAGACCCGTGGCTCCCGGGGAAAAGAAGTTGAAAATCCCGGCTGTCTGACAGAATCCTTCGTCTATCATAAAACATTCCAATCACCTGATAACATTTCAATGCATATGGTGGCGGCGTTCCCGAGATCCTTAGAATGGTGATATGAGTTATGTTAATTCAAGAGGCGGTCAGTTTAATAGATTAATATTTGTGGATCTTAGAATAAAAACCGACTGGGAATTTATTAAAGCGTAGTTGACCGTCGCATAGTTATTTATAACCGGTAGTATTATTGTATATTATGTAAAAATATAGCTGGTGATAGTTCGATAGAATTACTTCCGTGGGATTGTAATTGTTCGCGTTTGGTTACTTATTAGCCATGCGAAGCCACAGGCTTAAGAAAGTACCTAGGTACCTATGACATTTGGTACTGCGATGACTAAGGTAGAGCGCTTGCCGGGGTACATTGATGACTGTACGTTCTCGGGTAGACCGTGCAGCGTGCGGCGTGCGGCGTGCCAGGATCGACAATTAATAAGCTTCTAAACGTTCGCCGGTGAGTCTATAAGTTAGTAAGTCAGTAATGCGACGGGTCATCGCAGTCCCAAGTCTATTTTCTGCGAGATCTATCCTGCCAGTCATCAATGCAGGTACCAGTAAGATAACCGATATCATATTTTTTTTTTCTTTAGTTATAATACGACAGACGAATTAGTCATTTGATATGCGGCCGGCCGTCGCAAGCTCAGCTCGGTCGCTCGGTGTCCAATGAAATGGCACCGAGACAGCTCTCAATGTAGACAAACGTCGTACATTCGTATTTGAAGGACCGATGAATTAGGATGATCAAATATAACACGAAAAATATTCATCTATCTAGCCTAAGCTGATAGAGTTGCAATAGAGTGCTTTTTACAGCAGCATCAAGAGCGGTCTGCTTTCCACGGTGTAATCCGATTATAAAATCAAGAAATATGCATTAGGGTAACATATGAATCGTAGATGCATCAGAGATCGGCATTGGTCCAGCCTAGTAGCTATTTCAGCTGAGTTGTCGGGTCGGCTATGGCCTATCGGGTCAGTTTGATCCTCGGGCATAGACACCGGGCCGAGAGCAGGGGTGATGCCGAGTAGATGTACATCTAAGCTGACCAGTTGCATTTGCCTTGACGTGAGGATGACCTAATTTCTTCTACGAAGCGAAGAAGAGGGGATATGGCCTGGGACAATGCTTTAGTTAGTACGGGGCTGTAAGACCACTGACCTGTCGGAAGCGGTTGTATCATTTCTGGGTTTCTGGGTTTACAATGTCTTCACTAAAGATTTCCAGTCCCGAGACAACTTGCCAACGCAGCTTTTAGTAGTGGAGAATGCCAAGACCTAACTTAATTGCGTTCCGTAGTGTCGGGTTCGACTCCGTTGCTATGATTGGCTTCTGTTACAAGGGCTCATCCGCGAATACCTACCTAGGTAATCAAGCCCATGTGAAGTCGATTGGCCTAGAGTACTTATGACCTGGGCAGGATGGTAGGTGGGTGATACGCGTCGTTAGCTAGTTAGTGAGCAGTATAATATAATCCTCTGGATAAGGTTTGTAACAATTCCTTACAGCCCATTATCTATTATATTAGTACGCGAGATGCATTCAGGTATTATAATAATACCTGTAATATTGGCCTGTCGATTTGCGCAACTCCTGCCTCTAGAATAAAGAAATGTAGTTAGAATATTGGTGAAGATTGTATTTGTGTAGGTTGCGTTTCCTGGTTGACCTTAGGAAAAGTTAGCTAAGGGCTGTGACGTCGAATTTGGTTGTTACTCGGGTAGATTTATTGCATAGTTGCCTGATTTTGGTGGTAATCAATATGAACAAGGGTCAACATAGTTGGTAGCACCTACAGGGAATGCGAGCAGCTTTGTTAGCGACGTAATATAGTAGGGGCTTGTATATACCGACACGACCATACGATGCTTTCCTAGGTATGCAAGAGGGCCTGGACGAGATAGGCTAACGTAGTTGCGTCTGCAAGTGCATAGCACAACAAGTACCTGTTCGGTACCATTTTAAACCCCCTAATCCTTATTAGGGGTATGTACTCCATATGTAGGCGGTGATCTTTACCGTCGCTACCGCCCCTATGGTTCAACGCCCCGCGATGTAAGGATACCTGTTTCCATTCCTGACAAGACCATCAACGTTCCCTTAAGTAACAACGTAAGATGAAGCATGTTGACTGAAATAAATCTGCTTAGTTGTCGCCATAGCATTTAACCTCAATTATAGTTGACGCTCTTAGGATTTCGAGTTATTAACCTAAGTAGAAACTCTGTGATTTGAGTTGGTGATACCCAGAGGCTATAAAAATAAGTATAAAGATATCGATGAGCATATAGCTACATAGGGGTACTGAGTAGTTTGAATGTTAGGAGTCTTACATGTGCTTTATTAGCGTTGCTGCGGGAGGAAATTATGGTGTCCCGGGAGTAGAGGGTTGGTCGCGGCCAATGATCACAAGTCTACCTGAGAGAAGCGCTGCATTACGTGCCGTCTGTCCAGTTATTGGGGAAGTACAAGGAATACCTTGCGGAAAGCGGATGTCAGGATCGTTGGTTATCCTAAAGGGGATCGTAAGTGACTAGTCATTGGTGGGAGTGCTTGGAAGCGAGAAAGTACTGTGACTTAGATCCGTACGGAGCCGTAACTAAGACAGTCCCGTGGTCTGACTTCGAGGTGGCTTGTTGCAAGTCGCAATCGCAAAGTAATGCATGTTCACGGGAATCCACTTAAGGAGGTCTGAAGTCCTTGTTGGTGTCGCCTTTCCAGGTTGTACTTTGTGACGACCTTACAATGGCGCATCGAGGGGAGCCTTCTTGAGGGCACTTCGGCTTGGACGCACAGAATCTACCCCTTGACGTAGGGGCTTACCATATCTTGAAGCCATTGTATTGCTTGGGCTTTTGACCTCTATGTTCCAGCAAGACATCCTAATAGACGAATCTAAGCTGCCTGGCTGTGGAACCTACTTTGTCTTCTCGAGACACAATCTTATGAGTAAAGGAAGTAGAAGCTACTGGTAGCAACTAGTAGCAACTAGTAGCAACAGGACTGTCGACGATACATGTTGCTACACATGTAATGATCTTCACTTCTTTTCTGTAGTACGCACACATGTCCTTAGACTTCAGATAGTCTAAGAGAATGTATAATGGAAGCCATTGAGAAGATGACAAGTCGAGGAAGAAGCTATACTAGATGTGTTAGTTACTCCTGCATCTCACAGACTCTACCATAAGATCGATCTTGTACTAGTACCTTACCTTTGAGCATTGTGTCACCAGCACACCATCTGGGAGACACGACCCTCTGCCTCGGGACGGGGGAGCGCTATATCGGTGGGGCTAGGCCTTAGCGGACTGGGTCCTCCCGAAGCCTTACAGGAGCCACTAGACCCGTAACCAAGTGGACGGATCGAAGAAACACGGCAACGGGGCGTGTCATTACGTAGATATGTATGTTGGTAGCACCGTTCCCGAGACCGCTTGCTACGAGCTGAGACGGTTCGAGTCGAGATGTTCTGCCAAGAAAATTTACCCGGCGCATCTTTGAATACCTTGTCCACCTCACATGAGTGTTGTTTTATATATTACTTAAGCCGACATGAATGGTGGTGATGGTAGTGGTGAAATCCGGGTTACGTTCTCTATGTACACGTAGTTGAAGAGTTCCATGTCTTATGGGATGGGTCCGGGTACTTGGAAGTTCGTAGGCGAGTGAAAGAATAATTGGAGACAGGGATGGACTACACCTGTAATTGTATACATAATTGTATACAGTACAGCGCAAGTTTAGCGCTACTTCCTTGGCTACTTCGAGACCCACCTATAACTTCTCCGAGATGCATGAGCCGTACCTAAGAAGTATCCCCGTATACCTTAAGGTTTAGCTATGTCGATTGTACTGTACTTACCTCTATACCAGGTAATGTTCATCATCCATCGCTAGCCGATGTAGAATAATAAATAAATAAATAGGTACATACCTATATCTATATAAACCAGTGAGCATCATGGTTTGTTCATGCACACCCTATGTACATGCATATTTAAATGCATAGGAGGTAGAATGTTATAATTTCAGAAATCGATATTCCAACGTCCGTTTTAGTCTTCTCTTCCCCCTTTCCACCTATGACCTACCTAATGACCTATGGCCTATGACTTGTAGCTTTTTACACTTTTCACATATGTCCCCTTGTCATTAGGAAATCTCTCCATCTCGACATTAAAAAGTCTTGTTTGTCTACCACCTTTTATTTTTATTTTTATCCTTGCTATCCTCTCTTATTCATTATTTCCTCCCCACCGTTGCGTATTTGCGTGCTCGAGGAATACGGATCTGCATTACAGTTGAGGTTCGGTTCGGTACTTAGGCTATACTAGATGGTACCTAAGCTAGGGTTGGCACTAAAATAATTTCATGTTGTACCTCGTTCGATTGAAACTCGGGTCGAAATACTTATCCTAGTCCCCACTAACTACATAACTACATAACTAACCGCTAAACCGCTAACCAACCGCTAACTGCCATCGTCACATATCATCTTCCAATCCGCGATTTCTTCAGCACGCGTACCTTCCTTGTCCCTCGTTGTCTTGTCTTATCCTGTATTATTTTTCTCGATATCACTCTCTATATCTTCTCTTGATCTCCTCCATTCCTTCTTTCCTCCTAAAGTTCGTGCCTTTTACCAAAATCCGCATATTGAGCTAAGAGCCGCTACTTTAACCTATCCGCCTTTTGTTGAAGCTATCTGTAGGACTTAGCGCATCGCCGACTCGAGCTTGTCGCCCTAGTCGCAACCATCTTTCATACCTGCGCCGCGCTTCTACGACGGTTTCCTTTCGCGTGCGACCTTTTGCGCGTCTTTTTTCTGCCCTAACCGGGCTACACCGTGTCCGCCATGGCTCACAATGGCAACGGCTCTATTTACCCCCAGAATGGGTATGTTGGTCGAGCTCCAAGTGTCTACCCCCCATGCTCTAAGCTGTGCTAATATGGCTCTTTATAATTATTTAGCGGACCAGTCTTACCCTCTTCCGCCTCGAATCGAAACGAAAACAGAAAGCCAGAGGAATGGTGGTACACGGAAAATGGACGCTCTTACGATACTTTTCGGAGGGGGAAGTATATGTTCCCAATGGATGAGGTATGGAACCGATAGAGCAGGCTATTATCGAAATTTCGACTAAAGTACTTTATTTTTTCTAGGACGAAATGGATAGGATGGATCTATTCCATAAGTTCTTTCTAGTGGCGCGGCAGGATAGCTCTAACTACGGAGGTCTATGCCAACGGCCGCTACCTGTCTACCCTCGAATCTTAGATCTTGGATGTGGTACTGGTATATGGGTGATTGATATGGCCGAGTGAGTCTCCTCCATGGTTGCAACAAAATACTAACTTTGCTCCTGGCTAACCTACCGGCCTGTTCATAGTCGCCACCAAGGACGAGCTAATATTCTCGGTTGGGACCTTTCTTTAATACAACCTCTTAGGTAATGCTACTTACCTTTGTAATTGTTCTTTTCGCTGATTTGACGTAGGATTCCACCGGGTGTTGAGTTTCAGCGACGTGATATCGAGGATCCCTGGACCGGCATTGAAGAGAATTCCTTCGATCTCATTCATATGAAAATGCTTGCTGGGGGTATAGCAAATTGGACGGCTTTATACGACCGTGCATTCAGGTACGGGCCATGGTTGTGGTTGTGATCTGACCAGCGAACCCTTGTAGTTGCTAATCGCTGATTTTGACGGACAGATACCTCAAACCTGGTACTGGACTCTTTGAACATGTGGAGATTGATCTTACGCCTAAGTCCGCAGATGGCGAATTACCCGAAGACTCTCAGCTTCGAGTATGGGCGCACGAGCTGACCGAGGCTATGGAGAGGGCTGGGCGACCTCTAACAGCGAACCCCCACACTGTAGGGATGTTACAGCGTCTCGGCTACGTTGACGTCGAGCAAACAACCAAGCGGATCCCATTCAATTCTTGGCCTGAAGATGGACAAGAAAAGGAGATGGGTAGGTGGTTCAACTTTGGTATTACGAAAGGGCTGCACGCCATAACAATAGGTCCTTTAACTAGGATGAACGGTTACGACCCGGAACATGTTGAGAACCTAATTTCAAAAGTGCGGAAGGAAATGTGCTCCCGCAGATTAAGAGCTTACTGCACCATGTAAGTTTCGATGTCGCTACCCGTTTTTGATGAAACTGATTCAGGGAGTAGGTATATCTGGACAGCACGAAGGCCATCTATACCCGGCCAACGAGCGTGATCGCTCCGGCTGCCTGCAACGCAACCATTGGACCGGTATCTATCTACACGCCATTTGAACCAAGCTTTCTGCTCGGTGATCTCTTAGGCCATAGCCTACCTTGGACGTCTACGGCGCTTGCATAAAAGACGTATTACTTCCTTCCTATGCAGGGATCTACCGCCTTTTCAAGTCGATTTAGGAGCTACTAGAAGGCAGGCTCTAGGATCTTGTCCAACTATTTTTCCGCCCCCATATCTCGAGCATCAACCCTGGCGAGGTTGGACTGCGTCATTAGTCAGCTATCCTATGTCTACGGGCAAATACAAGAGTTGTGTTAAGCAGTACCTTTAGCCATGCGAGCCGGTCTTATTCTATGACCGCTACGATAGTCGTTCTATCGGACTTGTGGGCCAACTTGTTTTTACCATAGCCCATTTGGCATATCCCTGCATAAGGAGCGAGGCCCGCATGCCTTTCTTAACGGGCTCACACACTTTTTTTCTCCGGTATTGGCTAGATCCGGAGGTAATGCGTCTACACGTGCATACGCAGGACCAGCGTAGGTTATACATGTATTGGATGTACACTACTTTGCTCACGGTGCATTTCCCCGTTCTCGACTCGCGAATGACATGAATTTTATACACTTTGGCCTTGTCGACATCGCCAGTTAATGTTTTCTCATCTGGAACCGAATCAGTCCTGGTCACGACGTCACGCGCTCCCGGGGAACCATTCCAATTTAGGTGTATTGGTTGGTTGGTTTTATGTTTGGCGCAGGAGAAGTTGAACCTTGAGCCGGGGGGGAAAAAGTACCTTCATTGGCGGTGCTGGCTTGGCACCTAAGCAATAGGAGCGCATTGGGCAGTGAGAGTTACACTGCTTTCCTCCGTCTTAGACGAAACGGCGCTCCGGGTCATCTCTACATTACTTTCTCTTGATTGTGTGCATTGTACAGTCGGCGGGTGTTATGTTGTGTCGTGTTGCCTGGCGAGGGTGGGCGGTTTTGGAAAAGTTTGACCCGCAGGGGCGGCCAAGTTAGGCCGGGGCCATATGAGAGGCCTATACACTATTTGATGTTGGTGTTATTGCCATTGTAGCAAAACCCGTTGCAGTAAATATTTTGCTTCTCGTGTAAATGATAACATTTATTTTTGAGAAATTCTCAGACTTAGTGAGCTGGCCTCCGTGTTCTCCTTGTCTCTTGTGCATATTTGTTTTTTGTATTATGTTACCGCCTACATAGCTACATGAACCGGCGAGCACCGAGATCTAGCCTACCAAACGATATGATATTTTTAAAAAAAAAAATTTCTTCGGCACAACTCCCGTATTACGTCCGTAGGCATTTCGATATACGTGTTGATCTGTAACAACCATGATCGATGTTAATCATATCGAGATCTTTTCAAGAATCATCATATGGGCTACTTGTTTATTTCATATTGGCGACCCATAAGCACCCAAATTGTATATTCCACTGCATATGCCAAAGTAAAAAGTCCTGTGTCGTTTTCCTTGGTTTTTTCCATTGGAACTTTCTGTTCGGCTTCGAATGCAACTCCACGCGCCTAATCTTCAACGTTACCTTCTCCAACCAGGGTTAGGCTCATCGCTTCAAACCAGTCGCCCGGGTATAGATGAAGGTACCACACTTTTATTCACGGCTCTGCATCTCGAATGACGCACGTCTGAGGCGTCCCCGGCTATTCTTCAACCTCGTCCTTGGTACACGAAAGTTTTAAGAGGATCAATCTATCTGATCCGCGCTGACTTATTTGTCTTTGCCTCTCCTAGGCGGCTCTCTCCCCCTGCTAGGCTTTATAAAGGGGGGATGGGGTCCGTCCGTGGCGTCGTCGTTCCCAATCACACCTACCTTCTTTCTTGGCTACCGGCTCGTTGCTAACGACGATGGCGCTCTTAGTCGGACGGGTAGAGGCGAGTACTACCCATCCGAGTACCTAAGTAGATATTACGCACGCCCCCCCTAATAAGCGGACGAATAATTATAGGAGCGACTTTCTCAACACCATCGACCGGCCCGACGTGTCTAACTCCTGATGCTATCCGATAGTAATTCTTATGGTGGAGTCTCGGGAGCTGTGTTGCCCCGTAACTGGCTGGCTTATTTACTAGCTACTACTACATTGTAGACCGCGCTACGATACCTTTTTACGATATACAAGCTCGATTCATGCATGGACAGGTATTGTATTATATGCAGTAGCGTATTAGATATTCCTTATTTTCTTCCTGCTGCTGCCACGTTCCATCCTCTAAGGAGGTCAGCAGATCTGCTCTCTCATGCAGTTGGTTCCTTTCCATATCACCGTACATCACATACGAAAACATATAATTTGCTTTCTTGCCCCCAATCTTTCCTCCTAACGACAAACATGCCATGCTAGCTGTTATGCAGTTGGTGCCGGGTCGCATCTGATGATATAGTTTCTCATTGCGGTGAGGCGGACGGAGTGAAGCGAGCGAACGGGCGGGTAAAGGGAGGCCGTTCCGGCCACGGGCTCAATGCCCCTTTCTTCTACTCCCTCCCCCCCTGAGCTCTTCGAATTCCTCTCGGTTTTCACATAATGTATATATCTCAGACTAACATCTGCAAGATGAGATAGCGAGCGACGTCTCACGAGTTACAAACAGTTGCTTTTTATGATTACTAGGTAGTGCCCTACAATACCGGCGCTGGGGCTGACCCGCTCTCCCTCCCCCTTATCTGTCATTTACACGATGGATTCTCAGCAATCCTGCATTTCCGACCAACAGTATCAACGGGCCTCGGCACTTACTTAATTCAATTTGATTAGCAGCACGAGAGTGACAAGACCGGCCGATCTCTGCACATTTGGACCAGGCTTGTCGACTAGGTTCTTGCTACTAACAAGCAACTGTTAATATAAACCACAAGGGGCTTAACTACCTAACCTATACAAATTACGAAACGCCACATTCTATTTGAGTCAATCGATATTACATATATATTATGACCGTTAACAACATGACAATCACGTGTTTTTTTTATCTAGAAAATGAATAATTCTTCAAGTCATCGCCGTTATCTCTTAAAGAAAGATATATGTATATGAGGCTCGATCCACGTACATAATGACACCTTCCAACGGCACCTCCCGCCCCTCCTCGTCCAACATGCTGTGCCCCTTGGATTCTTACCGTAAGCCGTCACCTGAGCGGCCTAACACCAACCAAACTACGTATTTCCACTTACACAAAGGCGAGGTTGGTTCGAGAGGCAATACCTCTAATCACATGCATACCGCATAACAATAATGAGAATCGCCGGCCTTCGATATGATATGTAAAATTCGATCAGGTCATGACTATTATTTCGCTTTGAGCGCTTGTCCAAGGTAGGCAGGTCCGAGGCTGCGGCAATGACGTTACGCAAAATGAGATAAATAAAACCAACATCTGCCTGGGTGAAACATAACCTTCGCATCTTCGACACTGAATAAATCCAAAGTGAGAAGCCGAGGTAGCGGGCTGGCGCTAAACGAGACAACGGTGGGCAATTACTTTATTCGTTGACAGCGGGATTCCCATCTTGATGCAAAGTTTGTATAGTTATTGTACAGGATGACATGAACAAAGGAAAATATGGTCGACGGCGTAGAGCGCGCGAAGGGGGCGAGAGTGAATATACAGGGTGAGGACACTTGTTCCTAGCTTCGGCCTTCTCTCCCTTTACACATTCCACGATGCCGTAGCCGATTATAGAGACAGCCTGATCTTCCTGTTAGGGGCATATGGCTACCTCCGGCAGTATCTAATAAGAGAGTCCGAACTCGGACCTTTCGTCCCTTCGTCCCTTCGTGTTACCCACTATGTTTCCTCGAATGCAAGAACGACACCCACCCCGTCTATAACGTTCCCCCATCCATGCGTAATACAGAGGTATCTTAGTTAATCATTCTCTCGAGAGGCTGCCTTAGTGGTGCTCGGCGTGAGAGCCACCGTGGTACCCAATTATCTTGAAGCGGCCGATCATCTCACCGACGGTGAAAAAGCCAACGCATTCCGCAACCAGAACGCCGGTAGTAATGAGCTGAGCTCTGCTGATATTTCTCGCTTGCTGGATGATACTGGCGGGTTGATCTGCAATCTTGGATGCCGTCTGAAGCAGAGAAGTCGGGTTCTTCGCGGACTGCAACACGTTCTGCCAGTAGCTTTGGACAGTAGTAAGAGAACTACGAATATCTCGTTAGATCCACGAGGAATAATCTGTAAGTATGCCTTAAACTCACGGTGGTGACATCTTCTGACCCCTGAAGACGATCTTGGCGAGTTCCGAGCCGACCTTGGAGTAGTAGACGACCGTAGGTACTGATCCTGCAAACCCAAAGCATCAGTCGCTATCCAAACAAACACATATACGTCCCTCCTAAGTAATCCGTGATGCTATCACATGGTTCCACGTACTCTCAAAAAATGCGACTAATCTTCCAGTGCGACCACCAACTTTGCCCAGCGAGTTCGCAATTCCCTTGGCGGCGCCTGCAATGGCCGGACCAGCCGTCGAAGTGACCCTCGAGAGACCCTGCGCTGCCTTAGCCGAGTATTCGGTTGCCTTCGCTGTGTATTCGGACGCCTTTGCGGCATACTGCGAGGCAGTTTGGGAAGCGTTCGAAGAGGCTTTCGATGCAGTCTCCTTAGCCGTCTCCTTAGCCGCCTCGGAAGCCTTAGCGGTAGTAGTCGACTCGAACCTTCGGGCCGCCATGCGACCCCAAGCTCCCGATTGCCGAAGCAGGGGACGTGCGAGAGCGGACGACATTGCTGGACTCGGGTATTCGGGTTACTCTGAGACGTACGAGTAAGAGGCCTAGGTCGCGTCGATTGACCGGGGAATTAAATGGAGAGGGTGGCGGAGGGAAGGGGTGGGAGTTCGCAAGGGTCGTCGTCGATGGGGAAGTTGTTTCTCGCACTGGAAAAAAAAACACTCAAAAGGTTCTAAATCGGCTGTTCGAAAATGTACCCCCCGGCGGAAAAACCCGATCCGAGCTTGGACCTCAAGGTTAAAAACCTAGGTACAGCGGTACTCGTGGATCTTGAGCAATTGACCAATCAGATTACTAGTAAGTAAGGAAAGTTCTATATTAGTAATGATTAAAGGGTCCTTCTCAATTCACTTATTCTACATATTCATCCCATATCTTCTTTACCTTTCACCTTTTGGACCCTATGGTTTCATTTTTTGTCTTTATATTATTAGTTATACTCTTTCTCCTAAAGTATGGTAAACTTCACATTGAATCCGTCATGTTATAACAGTTGGTTTAATTTATAGTATTTATTATGCTTTATTTTATATTATTACCTTAAGAGGATACCTATATTCCCAAAGATTCACTTGACCTTGGCCGTAGCCTTACTCTACATGTAATGGCCTACCCCTAACGCTGTCGTACATTCTCTTATGGGTATAGCAGAACTCAAGCTAATCAAGGCTTTGAATTTGAACTTTAATGGCTCCCGTCTTGGGATCTGCTGCCGTGTTGAAGGCGTCAAGAGCGTCTTCAAGCTTGAATCGATGAGTAACAAGCTTTGAGAGGTCTACTACGCCATTCTCGACCAAGCGAATAGCTCGAGGCCATGTGTTGCAGTATCGGTATTGGAACTCTACGTCAACTTCTCGAGTGCTGGCTCGCATAAAGGGGAAGTTGATTTCGTTCTTTCCAACACCGGTGATGAATACCTTGCCTCCGAATTTAACAGCCCAAACGGCCGATGCTATGCTGCTCTCCACTCCAGTGCATTCAATAGCCAGTGATGGTTCGATGCCACCGAAAGATTCTATTATTTTCTTAGCCGAATCTTCGGCACTCGCCCTCTCTACTTTGTGCGTTATGACTGACGGGCAGATCTCCTTGGCGAATTTCAATCGTCCTTCATCAATGTCTGTGATGACTAGAGGGCAAGCGCCAGCAGCTTGACAGCACAGCAATGTGATTAATCCGATCGGTCCAGCACCGCAGACCAGTACCGGGTCACCAAGATTAACACCGGCTCTTTGCATACCAGCCAGTGCAACGCTGAGAGGCTCTAACATCGCTCCGTTTTCGTATGACATATTTCCAATCTTGTGACACCAGATAGCTGGGTGATTTACGTATCTCCTTAATAGGCCCGGAACCGGGGGTGTCGATAGGAATAGGACCTTCTCGCAACCGTTGTAACGACCCGTTAGGCAAGGCTCGCATTCGTTGCAAATGATGTTCGGTTCTATCGCGACTCGATCTCCAACTTTTAGGTGTGTCACCGACGGATGTACCGCGATAACCTGGCCAGCGGATTCGTGTCCCAGGATATGATCTCCCTCCACGATCATAGGTCCGATGCATCCTGCGTGCCAGAAGTGGACGTCGGAGCTGCGTAACGATTAGCAAGACAGTCTTACTCGTCTTATACAAAGGCTACTGACCCACATATCCCAGTGCTCTTGATAGCAACAGTGACTTCACCGTGTTTTAGGCTCTCTCCCTTCTGCACATCCTCCACTGTTGGTTCTGCCTCGTTGATCCATAGCTTGTGGGCGGGATTCGTGAAGACAGCAATGTTTGCCTTGGAAGGCTTCACGACAGTCTCAACTGTAGTTGAGCTCATTTTGACAGGTTCGAGAAGAAATTGAAGCAAGACAAAGGACAACGACGAACGGAGATAGAGAAGGTTCAAAGAGAGTTTCAAACCATTAGGAGGGGAAGCTCAAAGGAGGGGCCTGCCCGTTATTATGTCTCCCGACCTCTTCGCTTCCGTTCCCCAGTATTTTGTCGAATTCTAGACTGTTGACCCGAAACTGGCTGATCTAAGACGATGTCGGATATGTTTTCATCTAGCTCGTGGTCTAATACGGCCACCGAGCTGTGGCCCTACATGGATCGGAAACTATATCTGCATCGGGACTATATATCATCGTCGCTTACACGTATAAAATGCTAGTAGGTCAATGGTATTGTGAATGTTTTGTGCTCTGTCTGCATGAAGGGGGGTGTAAGGTGCTTAATTGGGGATAGCAATGCGATGACGTTCGGCTGCTATACGTCCGATTAAAATGGGGGATATGGGGACGGACAAGTTTGTCCTCTTTACCGCACCAATTATTCTTGTCGTACAGCACATCGTCAAGGTCTCATCCCCGCAAAATCTCTATCATGTGGTGGGCATTACAGTAGCGCGCCTCACGATGGGTAACTAGCTTCGGATGTCGGCCGCAGGAACAATTCTATTAGTTCTGCTAGACTTTTTCTTTTGTTTCTCCATGTACATACTTGCGCCATGTAACAACCATCCGAGGCAACATCGTGACTTTCGGGGTCTATCATCACCTGGTCTGTCAAATTTGCTTGTAAGAGGTAGATAATAGATGTTTCCACGTTTCCACGTCTTATCTTTACGCAACCAGGTATCGAGCAGACCCTACATGTTGTTCTGGCGCGTATAGCCCCACGAATGGGAAATGTTATATAACGTGCACATAGATCTAGAATCCAATAAGTCCCTCTAGATACATCTAGCATAGAGCATGGATCTGCGGTCGCTTTGCATATATGCAATTAAATAGGACCCCCGTGTTTTTAGTAGCGAGCCATTCATCTGATGCGAACTCCTCTTAGGGGCAATATGAGACTAGGTAGTTAGTATACTAGAATTCTTCAAGAGATGAAGTTAATATTGTTAAGATGGTAAACTATATACATGTATATGTCAGTGGCAAAGCCCTTCATGTATATTACCTGTTTTGTGGTGATACATGTACCACACCAGCCACATTCTTGCACCAGAACTTGAAGAACTGAGGGGCGAAATTTGTCATCAATTAGGATGCAACATTAGCAGATTAGGTTCGCATTCTACTCCAAATCGGACACAAATCCTCAACTTGACTTACCTCAACTACCTAACCTTACTAACCTGATCTACTACACTTATCTACTACACTTATCTACTACACTTATCTACTTCTCAATAAAGCTATTGCTGTTATCCATCGCCTTATATATATCCTTATATATATCATCTTCCCAATTTTAGTTAGCTTACAATCACTATTTTTAAAATGAATAACGGCGAATTCAAAAGTGGCGTTGACTATTTAGCTCGCCTTAAGCATTTTAATCAGCTTGATAAAGAGAGAGAAGATATGATTAAAGATTTAATAGCTAAATACGATGACCTCGAACAGCGCTTCGAGTCGAAATGTAAAGAATTTGATAATGAGGTTCAAACACGCTCTATATATCAGTCTCGAGCTAATGATGCTAACACGAAGCTCACTAATATTCGACATAAAATGGTAAAGCATACTACCTAGGCCCCTACATAGCCCGTAATATCAGATGTGCTAAAAGTTTCCTAGGATGTTAATTCTTTTGCTATTGCTATTATCGATGGCGACGGCGCTGTTTTTCGCGACGATTGGATTAGGAAGGGCGAAGACGGCGGCGCGATGGCCGCTCATCAATTGCGCGACGACATTAAGAAGCATCTTAAAGAAGCTTATCCAGACGTTAACATAGAAACATGGCATATAATGGTCCAGGTCGTTCTTAACCTCGAAGGCCTCTCCAGAAAGCTTTTTAGTGTTGACCTTGCGAAGAGCATGAGCGAGCTATCCGCCTTCGCTCGCGGATTTAGTCGTGCTCAGGGTCTTTTTTCTTTTATCGACGTCGGCAAGGGCAAGGAGCAGGCTGATTTTAAAGTCCGCGAAACGCTGCGGTTGATGGTGCATAATCTTCAGTGCAAGCATATTATCTTTGGGCCTTGCCACGACAAAGGTTATATCGTCGAACTCAGGCCATATCAACTTGAGACATCTGTTCTTAACAAGATCACTTTACTTGAAACTACCCAGCCCCCGCGCGAATTTAGCGAGCTGGCATTCGGCAGAGTTAAGTTTAACGATGTCTTTCGCTCTGAACTCCTTCCAGAAGGCTGGCTTCCACCGACTCCTCCGCCGTCGACAAACAAGCCAAACCCAATAACACCATCGTCAGTAAACAAGACAATCAACTATTCTGCCATCGCTTCTTCGTGGACTAGCACGATTCCGTTCGTCAATAGTTTTAAAAAGCCTGTGGCTACGCCAGTGAAATCGATGATGGCATCTCCCCGCAAATTTTATTTCGTCAATGCCTTGGGTCAGCGTGTCGATGGACCCTTACCGCAAGCCGATGCCTACTCCGAGCAGCGCTTCAAAGAGCGCTGCGAAGAAGAGGGAAACAGGAAGCCTTGCAACAGGTACCATCTGCATGGTATTTGTGAGGAAAACGCATGCTTGTACTACCATGGGGTCCCCCTGAGGCCGGCCGAGCAGCTCATCTTACGAATTAAAGCTAGAGGCTCTTTATGCAATTACAAGAGCGGTTGTAAGAATGTTGATTGCTATTGGGGCCATCATTGCAGGTATCAAAAGTGCCAAAAGTTTAATTGCGCCTTTGTTAACACTCATGGGATAGACTTGGTAAGTTGCCTTTATTTACTCGCTCTCTAGTCAAGTGTCACCGTAACGAGTGTTATTCTACTATGCCTACCGGACAGCATATCATTCTCGGGGGATCCAAACAGCCAATCCCGACGCATGCTGCCTCTTCCCTAGTGCCCACGATTGTTTGTTTCATAGTCATTTAAATTTTCCTACGCAGAATAAGTTAACATGATAACAGACTCCAGCGGAGAAAGTTTACGAAGACGGCTCACGAGAGGTCTTATCTCCCTAAGAAGTATGACGAGCTGGTATATAGGATTTGCGCAAAATCATATTCTATGTTGTTACGAGCACATCTAAGTATGAAATTTTTTAAATTATCTAAGATACATGAGTAGGTGCGATAAATGAGGAGGTAAATATGTTTTTTATTATGAGAGGGGGCTACGTATAGAGATTATGGTACTATGCAATGGTTCACTGTGTGTTTGTCAAACTTATAACACAAGCCTTCTCGGGCTAATTAATAACCCTAACCCATCAAATGATATTACTTCTTTGGTTTGCGCTCCTTCTTTGGTGTGCCCGGAAAGATGAACATATATGTTCGGTACAGGGCTGTGAGTACTGCATAATGTTCATAGACACCCAGCACTCGGAAAAATAAGGCGTTATCTTCCTTCTCTGGCGTATCTTCTTTTGGTTTATTTTCCTTCTTCGGTGGCATTCTGTTTAATAAACAAAGGAGAAAAAAAGTGTTTTCGTTTGGGCTCAGAGGTATGATGGTTAGAAGCTGTCGGTATCCAGGTAATTTGGTTTGCTTTATTGAGAATAATGCAGACCTAATTGAAAGGCAAACGACGTAAATCTATACTAGCTAGAAACAACCTTCTTGTTCCCTAGATGTCGAATTGTATTGAACCAATCGAATGGTTTTATCTTTGACTGTGACCATGTCTTGTATTATGGAACAATGTCTTTGATCACAGACTTTCAGGTAACAGTTTTATTGAAGTGCAGATAAAATCTGCAAGGTGTTGATACAATACATCTCTGGTATGAATTGATTGTAAATCAATGTGTTTGCACATTGTATTGATAAACCACGATATATAAGCATTGCTTTCCGCTCAAGTCTCTTCTCACTTTTTTTCCACCATCATCACACAATCTATCATTCTTTGAGAACTTAAGAGTCTTCTGAACATTTATCATCAAGAAACCCCTACAACACTTTATTAACTCAAGTTATATCTTACCATTGAATAAATCTGATCAAGATGGCTTCTGAAAGCAGAGATATGCTTCGCCTTCGCTCCGCGGATGGCAAACTTATTCGCATTAGCCGCGAGGCTGCTCGTTTTTCCGAGGTCCTTGCCGACATGATGAACGATATCGACGAGGAGGGGACCACTGAAATCCCCATCTCGGAAGTTGACGCAAAGACTCTGATTCTCATCGTTGAATGGTGCGAGGCCACGGCCGTAACGAAGGCTGAGGAAGAGGCGAAAGACGAAGCCGAGAAGCTTGCAAAGGAGGCTCGTCGACTAACGCGCAAGCAGGCCCGGGAAGCGCGTGAAGCGGACCGGTTGGAGCGCGAGGCTCGGGGCGAGGAGGTCGGACCCCCGGAGCCGGCCAACGACGACTCGGAGAGCGACCAGGGGCCCATCAAATCCACCACCTACGAGAATCCCTCCGATGTGATTCCCGCCTGGGACAAGGCGTTCCTAGACAGGCTCGACAAGGAGGAGGTCTTCGACCTGATCACGGCGGCGAACTTCTTCGACATCGAGGACCTCTTCAAACACTGCGCCAGGTGGATTGCGATGGTCGTTGACAACATGTCGACGGAGCAGATGCGTGAGTACTTTGGAGTCCAAAATGATTTTACCCCCGAGGAAGAGGAGCAGATTCGCAAGGACCACGGGTGGGCTGACCCTGACCCAAGTTACTATGACTAACTTCTCTACTCGCGTATAGGTGTCGAGGGGTATATACACTGGTGATTGATGTCATACACAGAGTGAATATCTAGGATAGGTAGACCAAAAGGATGATATATTGAACTAGTAACGCCTGATTCTACTCTCTTTCGAGGGCGCTACGCGCCCTTATATAGTAGATAGACCCCTGTAGGCCTCCTTACCCACTTATACCCTGACAATAGGACCGCAAGGCAATTCGTTCCTCTTTGGAAACAGGTCTCTCTTTAGAAATCCCTAGTTCAGCTTGACTACCTACCTATCTATGTTAGTGTATTATTAGTATAAAATAGTAAAATAGAAAAAAAAAAGGGGGGGGGGGTTCCTCAATTTATTGTAATACTTATTACGAGTGTGAATTATCTTCCATATTCGCTTTCTTCATGTTTGGATGTTGTAGAGTCTGCTATGAGAGGTAGGTAGGTAGATAGGTACCTATCTAACTAGAACTTGTGAAATAAACGATCCGAAAAAAAGGCCAAAAAAACATACAACACCGGGGATTCGCTGGTCGTCACCGACCCAACTACTAGTCCGGCGGTATCCGGTTTATCTAGGGGAGAGCGGACGGGATCCCGAGTTCTCCGGATCCTATGGTCGTATGTGTTGATTCTTGTTGTTTTTTCAATATATGTAGGTAGGTATTTAGTCACTGCCAGGAGAAAGGGGTCAAAGAGCCAAATAGCCTTATACATTTAGCTAGCTAACTAAATACCTCAAATAAACAGAGCTTTTATATTCACCAAGCGTGCGTAATTATAAAACATGATAATAATTTTATTTTTCCCATATGGAATTTTAAATATGACTTTATATTAAAAGTATTCTGATTAAAAGTATTCTTCTGGATGTCTCATCCTTCAGGGTTGCTTAGCTAAGCCTCATCAAGCCACCATCCATGGCTTTGTCCACAAACTCCCCCTCAACCCAAATCTTATTAAGATATATCTAAGCTAACATCATTGATTTGAATATTTTTTAGTCTTTTAGTCTTCCATCTAGGTTTAAAGTGCCTGCTATATGTTATTTAACATTTTCGAATGAATATAATCTCAACAATATTAAGCTACGACATATGATGTAACGCCAAGTAAAATCCTACCTACATACAGACTGTATAACATTCAATTTAATGCATTTCCGGGTCTCAAATCGAAGAAATGGCCCAGACTCCCCATATCGTGGTGTCTAAAAGACCTATAACCCAAGAAGATATAGAATATTGGGCCAGAGATAACCCCAACCGCCCTGAGACTAGACCCGAAATTAGAATCCAAAGTATTTGCCAATCGCTTGCGCCCGTCGCGCTACGAATAACTTGGGCAGAGGAAGCTATCGCTGCCGGCTTAGACGTTAACAAACTGCTCCCTCATTCAAGCCGGCCTTTGCAAGAAGCGATTGAGAACCCCCAAAACCGCGACTGGCGCACTATGACTACATTGGACCACTACGAAAGTCTTGATCTAGTGAGGTGGTTGTTGGATCATGGCGCCGACCCTCGGCTAAGGGATTGGGTCGCTGTTAGTGCGATAGATGAAGCATTGATTAATAAGCTTCGTAATAAAGACTCTCCTACGGCCGAGTTCTATGACCAAGCGCGGAAGATGATGATAGAAGCTGCTAGAAAACTCGAAGGTATTTAGCCGTAGTCACTTTAAAGACATCTTTAATTTGAAGACTTAGTAGCTAAACCAAGTTTCGTAACAGATAAAGAGGTAGCTGAGATGACTATCTTAGACCGCTGTAAAGACTTGTTCGGTGCGGGCAAGTACTTCCACGACCACTGGTGTGTTCTTTGTAGGCGCGGATACCTGGGACATAAGAAAGGTGAGCAGAAAAAGGACTGCGAGTATTGCAAGGAGGAAAAGGAGTTTAACTGGCACTATAATCGCGCTGATGCATTAATGATATACCAGGGATATAGATAAGCCTTGGAAATAAATCAATTAGAACACAAGAGCGAGAGACAATAACTAGAGAGTGGCTTGTTGTATCATTTACACAACTCGTATTCATATATAAAGGCTACCGGCTATATCTCCTATTAATATGTATCTTAATATGTATCTAAGTCATCAAGCCGATCCTTACTCCAGGAATAATGACCTAACGCCTAGCTATAGAAATACCAAAGAGCAGTATAAGTCATGTGTTACAGCATACATACATACTACTCCTCCCCTCCAAATCTTGCCGATGCATCCACCAAAGTCTCTACCAGTCGAGCTTTTGGATATGGCGCCTCATCTTTCAGTACCACCATACTGCCGCCATATAATGTATTCTGGAAGTGCTGCTTTGCCTTAAAGTATCGCTGTTGACGGACGCGGCAATACTCGTCATACCGTCCCTCACCAATCGTCGCCAATACATACTTAGGGTGTACACCGAGCGCTTGGGCCCCCTTCTGGCCAAAGCCGAAGCTCGTCACGCTGAACGCGTTTACCTCGTCAACTTGGATAGTCCGACTGGGGAACACGAGGTTCTCCCAGGGCTCAAGCGCAACGTCGATGTTGTCTGCGTTCCTGTTGCCTGGGACGGCCCCCGTGTCGAGGATCTGGCAACACCCGTTGAGCATCCAGGCCGCCGCGGCACCTTTGGGATGGCCGGTTAGATATTTCTGGCACACGGCTAGGGCCGCGTTGCCGGGGGTGCGGCCGAGGTGGCTGAGTTGCCGGTGGAGTACTTCCACTTCGTTCTTCTCGTTGAGATCTGTCGATGTGCCGTGGAGAGACACGACGCCGATGTCGTCGGCAGTCAGGTTCCAGACGGCTAGGGCTCCGCGCAAGGGCGAAATGCGCGTGTCGTGCGTCCAGAAGGCGTTGCCAAATCTGCGTCGGGCCTCCTTCTCCTCGCGCCGAGCAGCTAGCTCGAGCTCGAGCTCGTCAACTGGGCCGCTGGATATACCCGCCAGAGGACCGAAAAGCTCCTGACGCTCGCGGATCGACTTTAGGGAGTGCTCGAGCAACCGTCTCCTATAGTCGATGTCTAGGAGCGGGGACGGTCCGAGGCTAGGGCTTTCGCGGACGTTGACCATGATGCCTTTTCCAGGGGCGGGAACCGAGCGACCGACGCCATCGCTGGCCGTTTGAACATGCGCGACGATAGATCGGATGGGCAGGCCTAACTCTAGGGCTACCTTGGCGTTGGTAAGTAACTGCATGCCACACCCCTCCGATTCCACAAATCCTTTCCGCGACGAGGCACACGGGCGAGATGTCTCGTGTGGCGCGCGATCGCGCTCAATGTCGGCCATACTGTTGTTCGTCGCCTTCATATTGGCAAATTCTGCCGACGTATCCTGCGTCATGTCGTCGAACCCCCCTACTAGACAGACCTTCGCAGCGCCGCTTGTAATAAGATCGTACCCTTGGTTGAGAGACTCGAGCGCTGTCGCGCAGGCGCCAACAGGCGTTCTCGTCGGACCCGCCGACGACATGAGGAGCATATTCAGCCATGCCCCCGTCGTGTTGATGAACACCTCGGCTAGGATGTCGCTTTGCACCGGCCGGTCAAGATACCCTTGGCGGTAGAGCTTCTGTAAGGACTGGCCGCCCCCCATGCCTGATCCCACGCAGTTCGCAAGTTCTGAGACGTGAATCGTTTTGTATAGTTCGTAGACATCTGTGATTCCTGCCGAGAGGAAGGTCTCGGCAGCGCATACAAGTGCCATCTGCGTACATCGATCCACGCTCTCGCAGAGATCCTGCGGGAGTCCGTATATTGTCGGGTCCCAGCCCGCTGGGAGTTGGCCACCGACGATCCTGTCGAAGATTCTTGCCTTGGGGATCATCAGAGTGGCGCCTTTCCTCAGACGCACGGAGAACTGGTCGCTCTTGGATATTTGCTTGATCTCGACCTTGTCGCCCTGTTCTCGTACAAACTCCATCGCCGTGTCGAATGACGCGGTGAAGGGCTCCAGGTCGTGCTGGACAATGACTTCCTGGAGGAACTGCTTGCTGTCCCGATTGGGGTGGTCCAGAGGGCTCGGCTCAATAAGGCGAAGTCCTGTATGCTCTAGAATCTGCTTCTCGTACTTTGCTTTTACTTCGTGGTCATGCACAGGCGTGCCGGTAGCTACGTCTAGCCACGCGGCTGCGGCGCCGTCTGTCGGAGAAGCTGGCTTGGGATTATGCTTGATAAGTCCCGTCATCCAAGCCAGTTCAATACAACCTTGGATTGACAACTCGCCTTTGAGCTCCATCTCCCATCTTGTCCGGGAATTTCCCCAAGGTCCAATTTCGGCGAAGCCGACCACAACTACGACTGACTCTAGATCGACCATATTATCTAGCTTGGTGTTTAGGGGTTTCAGCTTGGTCGTGTAGTCAGGTAGTGTTGGAAAACCTAGCTCAAGGTCAACTAGAGGTTGTTTAGGTAACGCCGAATTCGATTGCGACGTCGTGGTGGGTTTGCCTCGAGTAGCGACCTCGTCAAGGGCTTCTTCTTCAGCTAAAGCCCGTTTGACCTCCTCGTTTTGACGCATCGAATTCCTTATTCCAGCAATGAATGTTGCTAGCTCGGGGTCGCTACCCATGCCGCCGCTCAGGTCCGCCAGGAGACATTCAGTCTGGCAGATCGATACTACGGGGTCTGACATGAGTCCTATTATAAGTCGTCCCATCTCTTCCGTCGAGAAGGTGGTCACACCACGCTTAGCAATCTCCTCTGCAATTGCGTCGTTAGCTGCCATTAGGCCTGTGCCTCGAGTCCAGCCAATAATGACGCCACAAAGACATAGATAATCGCTCCAACTCTCAGAGGACCACTTATTCAATAACGCCATCAGTCCGATCTTAGATTCGGAGTATAGGCCATCATTCCCGAACGTGCCGTGGTTAGGAGAAAGGGGCAACAAGACCTGCGCCGGCCTTGTACGAGAGCCTTTCGACTCCTTTGCGAGCTTAACAGCACCCATGATCCTCAATACATTTGTCAGCATAGCTCTATGCGCAAGCTCCGACTTCGAATCGATATTG